TAAAGAGAAGAAACACTGATGATTAGAATGAGTGATTTGAAAGAGAAAAAAGGGGAATAAGAATTGGTGATGAAGAAAAGATCTAGGTCTAAGAATCTTCGATAGTGAATTGTAGAGAAACAACTATCTTTTTTTTCCATGATTTTGAGAAGATACAAGGATGAGTTGAGAGTGTTTGTGTGGAGTTGGTTTTTTTTTGAAGAATCATAGAGATGACAAGAGAGAAGTTTCGCCTTTGATGGTTTTTTTGTGTGTGATTTCAATAAAGGTTTTTTTCTTTTTTTTCATTTGAATGGAGAATTTTATTTGAGGATAAAAGAAGGAAAAGAAAATAGAGGTGAATAGGGTGGAGCCGCCGTTGCCGGAATTACCGGCAGCGGCGGCGGAAGCAATTAACTCTTTTAGGTTACCAAGAGCGATGGCTCTGATACCATGTTGAAATATTGGAATAATAATATTGCTCTTTTGAATTATGAAGTACATGATAGAGTATATATAGGAGAGACTCCTAACACAACTAGGAATATAGAATAGAAACTAACTAACATACAACATCTACCACAAATAGGATTAGGAAGCTGACTAATAATGAAACACTACCACAACCAATACTACCACAAGTAATACTATTATTATTGTCTAACAAATATGTTAACTAAATTTAATTTGTGGAGAGGACATGATTATTTTAAATTCAAAAAACAAGAAAAAAAAGGAAAAGAAATACCTGTTTGGTTCCTCCGGGTGCAAGATTATTCCAACCAGAGCCCAAGAGGAGACAATGACTATTGGGAGAGTAAACTAAAAGTCCTTTGAGTGATTTGTTCCTTTCATTTGGCCACACGTCCAACAACTCTAACCTAAGCTCTGAATTCATATATGCATATGAATTAATTGTAATTAAAGAAATCATTTGGTTACACTACTAGTCAATAATTAGTAGAATAAAGGGTTAATAGCATGGGTGCCCCCTGTGGTTTACAAAAAGGGCGTTAAAACTCCATCTGTTTTCAAAAGTTATTTGTAAGGTCCATGTGGTTTCTAAACAGAGCACACATGCCCCCCTTACCTATTTTTTAAAGCAAAAATGACATTTATGCCCTTTGTTTTTCTCAATTTTGAATTTTTCCAATTCAATTCCAAATTCATTTATTATACAAATATATAAAATAAAATATACACTTCCCATCTCAAATTAGAATTTTTCATAATGTACTTTTGAAAACAAAAGATTTGTTTTGGAGAATGTAACAAAAAAATGAAAAATAAAATATTATGTACAAAGTAAAAAGTAACAATAGTTAAAAAGGTAATGAAAAGAAATAAAAATATAAAAAACAGTCTTTTTCTTTAACTCCATATTTTATTCCATCTTTCTGTTCTTCATTTTTTAAAGTCCTTAAAAAATTATTTTACTTTTAAAAAACAAATAAGTTAGAATTTTTAATTAGAGATAGAGTGAGTATATGTTATCCATTTTTTTATTTTATTTATTTTACTTTTACTTATAATGAAAAAGCGTATTTTATTTCATTTTTGTAACATTTTCTAAAAAAATTATTTTTTTGAAAATTAAATACATAAAAAAATTTAATTTGAGAAAGAGGGCGTATTTTTATTTTATTTATTTGTATAACAAAAAATCTAAAGAAAAGAGTAAAATTTGAAGATAGAGAAAAACCAAGGGTAGAAATGACATTTCATGTGTAAAATAGGCAAGAGGAGGTATTTGTGCACTATTTAAAAACCACATAGGTTTTACTAATAACTTTTGAAAGTAGATGGGGTTTTAACGCTTCTTTTGTAAACCACGGGGAGCACCCATGCTATTATCCCGTACAGGGGCGGACCTAGGGTGGCTGCAGTGGGGTCACTTGCACCCACTCCAAAAAATTTTTTTTATTAGTAGTAGTATATAATTAGATATTATATGTAGACTAAGGGCATCCAAGGAGAGTATATTTATATGTGATTAGGTGTTATTTTTTGAAAATGGAAGAGAGGACACATCCTATAGTTGTGTAGAATTTTATGTTTTAATTCTTCTAGATTTGGAAAACTGAAACTTAATTAAAAAAATGTTCAATTTTTTTTTGAAATGTATGAAAAAGTTTAATTGTTTTAAAAAGATTCCTAAGATATACTTAGTATTTGAAGAAATGTCTAGAATTACTACTTTAGTTCTTTAATTTTTTTTGGTTAAAACAATGAGCGTATTATTGATACTTTTTATACAGTATTTCAAAAATATTGCATATAATTTACAATATTAATCTCAGAATGCTATTTATTGATACTTTTTTACCTTTAAGGTTTTAAATTTATTGTTATACAAATATCAACATTTTTTTTGTGCACAAAATGTGAACCCACTCCCTTNGAGAGGACACATCCTATAGTTGTGTAGAATTTTATGTTTTAATTCTTCTAGATTTGGAAAACTGAAACTTAATTAAAAAAATGTTCAATTTTTTTTTGAAATGTATGAAAAAGTTTAATTGTTTTAAAAAGATTCCTAAGATATACTTAGTATTTGAAGAAATGTCTAGAATTACTACTTTAGTTCTTTAATTTTTTTTGGTTAAAACAATGAGCGTATTATTGATACTTTTTATACAGTATTTCAAAAATATTGCATATAATTTACAATATTAATCTCAGAATGCTATTTATTGATACTTTTTTACCTTTAAGGTTTTAAATTTATTGTTATACAAATATCAACATTTTTTTTGTGCACAAAATGTGAACCCACTCCCTTAAAATCTTGGGTCCGCCACTGATCCCGTAGAATAAAGTTAGAAATATATCAAAATAAATACCTCATACATTAGACAAACACAGATACTTTGACTAGTATTCTCTGCAATTAAGTGTTAAAGTAAGTAGCTAGTCAAGTAATTAAAACCTTGCAGGGCTTTCATTTGACTTGAGGTGCAATTTCCCTTTGTCGCACAAACCGCATCCTCATTTGACAACGTATAATTGATCTGAAATAGAGATTTATATCATTATAATCAATAATATTTCAATAACTAATTACTACAAGCCTATAGTAATTATTACGGAATATATACATAAGAGTAGGAATCAGATCGATATTTATTAATTAAATATATTGCTATAGTAATCATAATAATACTATTAATTATTATTATTATTATTATTTTAATTATTATTATTTTAATTATTATTATTATTATTATTATTATTATTATTATATTGGGAACCTGGACAGTATCAAATGCTGACATGAGAAAGAAGATAGGAGTGCGGATGTCTCCTTGCAAATTTTGTGGAAAAAAACACTGCATATATACCAAACAAATTAATTTAAATATTCTAGGACGGAGTATTTAATTAACTTTTGCTTCAATTTGAAGGAATATGATTATAAAAATAATTTTACCAAAGCCGCAGGTAGTCTCGAAGTACAAGATTTCGGCAAAGCGGGTGTGGATCCCTATAACACAAATCATTTAAAAAAAGAAATCATCTACTCCAAAGTCCAAACTCTACTAGTCTTGTACTCCCTCCGTCTCATAAAGATAGGTACATTTTGATTAAAGTAGAAATTAAGGGAGGAATAATTTTGTGTTGACTTTCCAAAAATACTCTTGACGTGATGGGTAAAAGTATGATGTGATGTGTAGATTATTAGGAAAAAGGTATGATGTGATAGGTAGGGTTTGAAAAGGTAAGGGGTAAAAGTGGTTTTTTAATAGAAATGAGTAAGGGATTGTGGGACTCAATTTTTTTTGAAACGTGTAGATCTTTTTGGGACGGATGGAGTATAATTTAGGTTACATTCCACAATTGGTTTTTCAAGTTATTGCATTATCCTCCAAAATAGTCTAACACAATATGATTAGTCTTTTAATATTAAAAATTTCACAAATAGTCTTTTAAGTCGTGTTAGCATTGCATGGTTAGTCTTTCAAATCACGTTAGTGTTGCGTGGTTGGTCCTTTCCTTAATTTTTTTTTGTTACTTCTTGCATTTTTTCATTTTCTATTATCAATACATGTGAGGAATTTTCTCTTTTTCATACAATTGAGTTATACTTGGTAGATTTACTTTAATTGAAATCTTGGTAAAAAAGTTTAACCTAGTTGACCGTAAAAAATCAAAATTTGATAAAAACTTTAAGGGGGATTGATATTTTGTAAAAGAATTAAACTAATTAATAAAAGCAAAAGTAACTTTTTTTATTTAAAAAATTGGAGTAATTAGAGTAAGAGTAACTATTATTATTAAAAATACACCTATATATGGAGAAGAAAATGTTCCTCACATGTATTCAAAGTAGAAAATATATTTAAAAAATGCATGGACCAATGGCAACATTAACGGAAGAACAAACCATGCAATGCTAACGTGATTTGAAGGATTATTCGTAAAATTTTTAAAGTTGAAAGACCAACCATACATGAACCGTTCACATGACTTGAAGGATTTTTTTTAACATTTTTAAAATTGAAGGAGTAACCGTGCATGATGCAATAATAATTAAAAGGACTAAGAGTAGAATTTAGCTTATAATTTAGGAGGTATTAAATGGAGTACTTTCAATGAATTGAAGGAGTCATATATCCCACTCCATATCTATATACTCGCTCCGTCCCATAAAATCCTTCACGTTTCAAAAAAATTACTCTCTCCGTTCTCAAAAACCACTTTTAATAATCTACACATTGTATCTTACTTTTACCCATTACATCAAGAATATTTTTGGAAAGTCAACACAAAATTATCCCTTTTTATTTTACCAATTTAGTCAAAGCCTCCTTATCATCATGGGACAAAAGGAGTATACTAGACAGGATGGACTATGGATCCATCAGAAATGAACAGATGAGAGTTGAAGGAACACATTCATACATGCATATCAACTAATCCCTCAAAGATGGGTACAAATTTGCTCTCCCGACTGTGTCGTTTCCTGTGTATTTTAAATTCAAAATAAACATTATTCATTTAATAACTTGTCAACCGACAGACCGCATATCCGTAGTACTCCGTATATATGTTGTAGTGTTTATTGTTGAATTGAATTCTAAGGGTTGTTTGTTTAATTCTAATTAATACTTACGAAGGGAAAAAATATCCGCTGTCCACTAGAAGAGCCTGTATTACGTCCATACGTGAATATAATTAATTAATTAGTGACATTGTTTAATGTAGTAATTAATTACTCCGTAATTAAAGGGTGCATTATATTATATGGTCACTACTTACATTCTCTGCATTTCCCATTCCTTTGGCCAATAATTCTTGGGTAATAGCTTTGAAGATCCTGGCACCCCTAAAGTAATAGGTAGTGCCCTACAAATCAAGTTAAAAGGTGGATCTAATGTCAAAACTAGCTAATTCATATAATTCAATTAAATTATATGATGACTGTCTTCAAATAAAACATACATTTGTTATTGTGATCTGAGAGTTCCCAGTGAACGAGGAAGCATCGCAGTACCTCACCGAAACCTTGTTCCAGTTATAGAATTCTAACATGCACGAGTAATGTTAATTTCATCAAACATATCATTAATTAAAATGTTAGCTATACTAAGTGAAATGAAATTTAAGGCAATTATTGACTACCATACTTTAAAAAAGTACACACAATTCAGGCCCAGCCAAAAACTCCTTTTCCTTTCATTTTTTCTTTTTTTTTTAAAAAGTCTTTCCATTTGTATTACTAATTCTTAATTTATTTATCACATCATATTTTTTTTATTAATAATCTATCCTTAATTTAAAAATGAAATATGAAGAACAGAAAGATGAAATAAAATATGGAGTTAAAGAAAAAGACTATTTTTTATATTTTTATTTCTTTTCATTACTTTTTTTAACTGTTATTACTTTTTACTTTGTACATAATATTTTATTTTTCATTTTTTTGTAACATTCTCCAAAAAATATTTTGTTTTCAAAAGTACATTATGAAAAATTCTAATTTGAGATGGGAAGCATATATTTTATTTTATATATTTGTATGTGTGCTCTATTTAGAAACCACATGGACTTTACAAATAACTTTTGAAAACAGAGGGGGTTTTGACGATCTTTTTGTAANACATCATATTTTTTTTATTAATAATCTATCCTTAATTTAAAAATGAAATATGAAGAACAGAAAGATGAAATAAAATATGGAGTTAAAGAAAAAGACTATTTTTTATATTTTTATTTCTTTTCATTACTTTTTTTAACTGTTATTACTTTTTACTTTGTACATAATATTTTATTTTTCATTTTTTTGTAACATTCTCCAAAAAATATTTTGTTTTCAAAAGTACATTATGAAAAATTCTAATTTGAGATGGGAAGCATATATTTTATTTTATATATTTGTATGTGTGCTCTATTTAGAAACCACATGGACTTTACAAATAACTTTTGAAAACAGAGGGGGTTTTGACGATCTTTTTGTAAATCACAGGGGATGCCCATGCTTTTAACCCTTAAAAACAACATACTTTTACACTTTTACTTTTACTAATTCTTACTCCCTCCGTCCCTGAGTGTTTGTCCACTTTCATTTTTGCACACCATCCAATGCACTTCTTTAATCCATTTTATCTTGTAATTTGTATATTAAAAAATTATAAAAATTATATATTAATAATCTATATGTTAAGACGAATCAAACAAGATCACACATGACTATTTTTAGGCTTACACATTGAGAGAATTTGATAAGTCAAAGTGTTTAGATGAACAGTTCCAAAAGTCAAATATGGACAAACACTCAGGGACGGACCAAGTAATTTACTTATCACATTATATTTTTTTATTAATAATCTATCCGTCATATTTTACTTTTACCCATCACATCAAGAATTTTTGAAAAGTCAACAGAAAACTAACCTTCTCTTAAATATATATTCTAAATGTCAAAACGGAAACATCTTTATATACACAGACAATATTAAATAAACCTGGATTTTCATCTTCATTGGTATTTGTTAACATGATAGTGGAATCAGCAACAGGAGTAGGAAGCGGCCAAGCACCACCTTTGTAATCAATATACTGTTCGCAGTCCGTAATGTTTTTGCACCATCCTCCCCCCTTAAAAATATATACTAACAACTTTTAGCATGTGTTTTTTTTGTTTTTGAAAAGTTTAATAGAACAGATTTATTTGTTAAATATAGTTAATGAAATAGATAGTATTTGCACGGGGTATATGTATATAACTATTGAAAATTGCAAATTATGAAAAAAACACAAAAAAACAAAAACAAAATTGAGAGCAAATCTTTACGTACATTGAGATAAATGAGCCAATTTCTGGTGCCGTTGCCAAAACCTTTGAAAAAATAATAAGCCGCTGGTGCTCCAGTCAAACACACTACATATACATACATCACATATGATCTCTTGTTATTTAAAGATATTACAAATTAGATAGCATTTCTTAATTTCCTACTCCCTCCGTCCTAAAAAAGTTGTCACATTTTGAGTTTTTTAGTCAAATTGTGACATTTTTTTACTGCAAATTATGGAAAAAGTATCCACCGTATTTAGTTATGAGGTAATTTAAGTAAAATTGGGTTTATTTTAAAATATAATTTTCAAAAATTAAATTTTTATAATATTTAATTATTTTAAAATATTTATGGTTAAAGGGTGTCGCGTGATTTGATTAAAAAAGTCAAAGTGTGACAATATATACGTACTAAGAGTAACAACAATAATATACGGAGTACGAGGTTATAAACTCTCTTACTTATTAAGATGACAAATAAAAAAACATTAATTAAATGGTTACCAGCCCCATCATCGATAGTTACGAAGGTTGGATTCACTTCAACCTCATTGCCTGAAAATCATACGCTATTAATTAATTACGTAGGATTATGTATGGTTAATTAAAGTAAAATTGCTCGGTAATAATATATTTACGTCGTTCTAGAATATTTGTCTAGTTCGATTTTTTTATAATCAAATTTGATAAAATTTGACCATTAATAAATACAATATATATATATATATATATTACACATTGATACAAGAATAATTTTCAAAATATAATTATTTATATCATTTAAAATATTTTCAAAATATAATTATTTAATCACAATATAAGTAAAAACTCGATCATGTATGATAAAGTGCAAAAAATCAAACGTGGAAAGACAAATATTCGGTCTAGAAACAAAAGATTATGTGAGAAAGACGAAAATGAGTGTTGAGTGGATGGGTCATATATATTAATTGTTTTTTTTTTGGGTGATGTAATAAATAATGAAAAGTGAGAAAGTTTATAAACATAAAATGGGTGGTGATAAATATAATGTACCTCCGGTAGCAGGAGCAGGGGCAGCTGAAGAGGAGAAACTTGCTGCATTATTTAGTTAAAAATTAAGCAAAATGAATGCAACCATGATGATAATAAGAGCTTTTTAAATTTGGAAACTATTATTATAAAAAAATTAAATGCAACCAACCATGAACCCAAATTAAAAGCTTTGTAGCTATCCAGCCACCGATGGAGTAACATAATATAACTACATTTTCTTAAAACAATAATGATACTCCATAATAATAATAATAATAATAATAATAATAATAATAATAATTATTATTATTATTATTATAGTTGAAACTTCCTCTGCCCATATTTTAATCATTAAAATAAAATTATTTAGTTGAAATTTTTGGTGAAGAGAGAATCAATATGAAACCCTACTTATTCTATTCATTTTAAAAAACCTGAAGATTTTTCGAAATAAGTCAAAAATGCAAGTAAGAAAATTAATTTGCCATGAAGAGAGTGAATGAAAAGAATCTTACAACAGCTCTGGGTGAGGAGGAGAATGGCCAGTAGTAAAGACATCTCAACTCTGTAGTAGTAGTAGTAGTACAAGTTGTAGAGGCAATTCATTGCTATATATAATTATGAGAGATATAATAAGAAGTAGCTTTTAGAATAATGTGGAATATATGTAGAGTAGATCTTGAAGACCAAAGAAGAATACTTCTTATGACGGATGTAAGAAAGATAACAAACAATAAAGAAACGAAAGAACAAACACACACAGATTTAACGTGGTTCACCAACAATATGTTGGCTACGTCCATCTAACAGAAGAGAGGAGAGCTTTTACTGATTGAGGAGAGAGATTACAGAGGGATTTTCTAGGTGACTGATCTAATGTATGAATGCCTTACAAATGAACCTATTTATTGGAAAGATGGCAGCCAACTTGGCTGCCTAAATCTAGTGGGAACTGAGCAGTTGACAGCCCACAATACTGCTGTCATACAGCTGGCCCACCTCACCAACTAGCAACCCACTTGCCCAATTGTCTAGGCCTCCTTCCAGCCACTTTCCAGACAGGTGCAGCCATTGTTGACTAGTCAAATAGGTTAGAATTCAAGGCATTCCAACAAATCTCCACCTTGACTTGAATTCTCTCACAAATTTCCAGATGCACCTCCTTGGTGCCATATGTACCCGCTCTCTTCTCTTCTGCAGTTTAACAGCTTGTGATATTTAGCAAGTCCAAACAATGTTGGAACTTGCTCTGTGGAACTGGCTTAGTGAACATGTCGGCAGGATTGTCAGCCGTGCCCACTTTCTTCACCCTGATTCTTTTCTCACTTCTCAAAAAATGATACCTGATATCAATGTGCTTAGTCCTTTCATGATGAACTTGATCCTTGGCTAAGCATATTGCACTCAAACTGTCACAATACACTATAGCC